TTTGTTACACTTTATTTTCAACATTATATATAAAACTAATTTGGGAAATTGATGTGCTAACATTTAAGTTCAGTACACATTCCTTACCCTGCTCCTCACTCTGATGACTTCTGGCACTCTTCTTGTATTTAAAGAGTAAGCCAAATTTTCAGTTTACAAACAGACTTTACGTTACTAGCTAATAGTAATTTCTGATTCTGAAAGAGAAAATATAACCCTATGTCATCAGTGCACTAATTTGACATTTTAGGGGCTTTTCATGTTCAATAAAGGTAAAGCCACAAAGTAAAATTATAAAGAGAACGATTCTACTGGAAGAAACATTAATTTGAGAGTTTATCACTGAAAAGAGAGCTCAAGAAAAGAAAGTTTATAGGTCAATGAAGGAAATGCAAATGAAACAAGGGTAAAATTAATTTATATTGCTATAGGATATAGAAAATAACTCTGACTTCAACATTGAAGACAGTGGAATTTAGAATGAAGAGGATGTGTTGAGAACAGTGTTTCTAAGGTAGATGCTTTAAGAAATGTTTGGAAAACAATGCATTTTAAATCAGGCCAGATGATCCAGCTGTGAAGTTATTGTGTTGTACTCAGCAAGAGGAAATGAGCTGTGAAAAGTAAGGTGGCAGAAAATGGAGAGAGGAAAACACTAATTAAAGGGATTGGTAATATGTTCAGCAGCTTTTCCAAAGAGAAAAATTCTACAAGAACTTAAATCTCAGGCCTGGATTTGTCATCTTTTTCTTAAACTTTGATGCTTCAATACAGCACTCTCCAATTACATCTGTAAGAGACAGAGGGCTAAGCCTATAATCAGAGGGCTACAGCTCTATACCATACTAGAGTAGTTCTCAGGCATTTCAGATTATGTGTGCTCAAAATTTTTCTAAATCACAAGTTTAATAAACTGACCATCGACATGATGTCTTATCTAATATCTAGAAAAGTTTTAGAAAAAAGTTTGAATTCCTTTCTTCTCAATATCCTCAGGTTTAGGGAATTGATATTTTTTTTAATTTTTTAATTGTGTAAATACTGTACAAAGGGTTACAGTTACATGAGCAAGGTAATGAGTACATTTCTTATCCAGCATTGCTGCCTCCTCTTTGTTTTTCCCCTACCATCCCTTCCCTCCTACCTCCCATGTCCTCAGCTACACCTCCTCCCACTCCCCAACCCCCACCCCCACCCCCCATTCCCCCCCTAAATTGTAAAGTCCATTTTACGACATAGCATCCAGTACATCTCATTGTTGCAATGGGTCAGTCTGTATCCCTATTTCAACAATTTGTTTTTTCCCTTCCCCTACCTAAATGGGAATTGATTTATGTGTTAGATTTCCAGGTAAAGCACAACATAAAATGAAATAAAAGGAATTAATAAAATTTGTATCTGTGAGCTGTTCTCTAGTAATTTGCTTTTGTGTCATTGACATCCAACATGAAATTCTGGCATTTAAAAATAGTTTTTAATTCATCTTCAATTCATTTGCTAAATGAGATTCCCTATGTCAGAGTTATAGCTGTAAGAAGACATATTCACTAAATTAGAAGAAGAGGAACAGATAATAATGCACCCTAAGACCTCAGAGGAAGGTCAGTGGAATTTTGAATAGTAATAGTTGGCAGAAGACAAGTACAGAAGTGCTCTCTTCATTGCACTTTATGATATCATGCCCCAAAGCACATAAAGTTCCCAAATTAATTTTTTGAAAATTCTATATCCAACATCATTATTTTCAACTCTTCATATTCATAGGAAATGTATTAAGTTTACATTAGAACTAAAAACGATATAACCTAGATTTTATAGAAATAAAACATTGCAATTAATGTATAAAAATACCCTTCTAACAGGGATAGGATGCTGTTTATTGCTCTAAATTATTCAGAAATTTTCACACAATTTTCTGTAAACATCTGACTAAATGAAGAGTCCAAAACTAGTAGTATTAATACATCAAATTTCATCTTTTTTCCTTTTATTTCTTTGTGTCTGTGGACACACACACAAAAATAATAATAATATAGTAATAATGATGAAAATAATAAAGAAGTGGGCCGAATTATCAGGATGTTGTATCCTAGAATAGTACCAAAAAACTATGGAAAACTGTTATGCTGTCAGCACTACCGTAATTATTGGGGTTGCAGATAAATAGATATTGACCATGATCTCTGGCCTCTAGACTTGATCACTATGTTATTTATATGTTTCATTAACATAGAATTATGAAAAAGTAGAATAGTGTGCTCTAAGGAATAAGTATTATGCATATACAAAGAGGTCAGGAAAGAATGAATCCTGCAATTCAGCTGAAGATCCTTCAGAAAGTGCATTTATCAATTGGGAGAGAATATATCCCTATTTTCCTTTTTTTCTTTTTTTCTTTTTTGTTTTGTCGGTTGTGAGGCCTGAACTCTGGGCCTGGGCACTGTCCCTCAGCTCTTTAGCTCAAGGCTAGTGCTCTACCACTTGAGCCACAGCACCACTTCCAGCTTTTTCTACTTATGTGGTGCTAAGGAATTGAACCCAGGGCCTCATGCATGTGAGGCAAGAATTCTACCATTGAGCCAACTTCTCAGCCCCCTATTTTCTTTTTATTATATGAGCTTACTTTTTAAATCAGACAAAAATGTCAGTATTATGAATTCTGTATGTAAAACAACTTGAGTAGTAAACTATTTCTGTAAATATGCTTTAATTTCATAAATTTCAAAGTCAGAATTGTAGGTCAATTCAAATCTTTATAGGTATAAAGAGCTCTTTGTAACTTTACATTTAAAAAATGTTTTATTATCTTTAAGTAGTTGTACAAAGGAGTTGCCACTTAACAAAGCATCTTGGTCAGTATATATAGTAAAATATAGTACAATCCATCTTGGTCAGCGTCACCTCCTTCAACATTCTCATTCCCCTGTGATCCATCTCTTACTTTTCTTAATGTTGTGGTATATACAATAAATTCTTGACTATATTCTTCTCTCTTTCTCCCCTCTTCATTTGCCTACCCCCTCTCCCTTTGTCCCCACTCACCCTCTTTGATGTACCCATTTCCTTGTGTAGATTTTGTTCCACTTTGACCTAGTCTTTCTAAAAGAGTATACTATTTGAGCTCTCCATAGAGTCTATTATACTTCAGATAATTCATTTGTAACTACTTGCATATTGCCCAGTATTTTTACTTATACATTTATAGGCACATTCATTTATAGGTACATTCTATCTACAACAAATCAGGAAACCATGCAACCTTTGTTTCTCTGTGTTGGCCAAACTCCATTTAAATTAGTTTTTCCATCTTACATTTCCTTACAAATGGTACAATATTATTATTGCTAATGGATGAGTAAAAATTACTTGTGTGTCTATACCACTGCTGCTATTACCTTTTCTCTGTTATTAAGCAATATATTTTTCTTTCTATCCTCCATTTAATACCTTTGCACCAGTATCTAGCGCATGGTAGGCACTGCATAAATATTTGGTACTTTATCAAACAGGTATTTGTCAAGGATGTAGCAAAAGCTATCAAAAGAATTTCTGGTTTTCTGTCAAATACATAGCTATCTTGATTAAAAGTGTATTGATCATGATAATATAATTCTTGAAAGATCGTAATGCCAATCCAAAGGGAATGCATATAAATTTGCTTCTATTAATGTTTGTGCCAGTACAGCAGCTTGAATTGCTGCTTAGCTTTTTCACTAAAGGTTGACATTCTATCTTTTATGCCACATCTCCACTTCTGGTTTTCTAATGGTTAATTAACTGATTTCAAATTGGAATCCTCAGATTTCAGCCTCTTAAGTAGCTAGGATTACAAGAGTGAGCCACCAGCACCTGGCATAAGTTTGCTTCTCAAAGAATGCAATGTCCTGGAGCTCCCTTCACAGCATTGAAGAAATAAGATCCACATTTGAATGCCTGTTGGATTCTGAAAACAAATGTATTCTTTCTGTTATGAACCAATTAGTCACTATCTGTAGTATCAAGATTCATAAGGCCAGTAGGTCACTTCTCAGCAGAAATATTTCTCTATTGTTTGATATACCAAAAGTTTCATGTAAATATTTAAATCATGTAATGTTCTACTTGTATAGTAATATTTTAGGAGTATGTATTTTATACCTAAGAAAGGCATAAGACCTCTATTTGACCTCTTTATATTAGAAAGTTGTAGTTTGCTTTGATGTTCTCTCTTAAATTTCTATTTTCCAAATAAACAAAAACATTGGAAAATAGTGTTATAATTAGTTGGTAGGTAAGTCAAGGATGAATGATATCTTTCAATTAAATAAACACTTTGGCCGATTTCTTGCAGGTGAATTATCCCTACTGTCTAGTACATTTTGTTACAATTTGTTGGGTATACAGTTTGAAAGCAATATTGTAGTTTAGGATGAAGGCTACTAGAATCATACTAACATACTAAAAATTACTTTGGGAACTGACTTTTCAAAACTGGAATAGTAACTATATATTGTCTTAAATAGTGAATTATATGGGACTACAGCTTCATGATTATTCTTGTAAAAGAAATGTAAAGTATTGAAACTAAAAATCATTAAACAGTTACATTATTTTCCATCTTTTTGTATTTATGTCCATCAAATGATATGCACATTCAGGAGAGTATCTATATTCTATCTAGTTAACAGACTGGAAATAGATCTCCAGTTCTTACCACAGTCAATTAAATAGTTTCTGTGAATTCTATTTAACATTATGAGGAAACAGAGGCCAAGAGGACATGAGTAAGTTCTCTAAGCTTCCACAGCCAATCGGTGACAGAAATGGGATTCATAATGCAGAGTTGCCTGATTCTCAACTCACATAGTCTTTCCCTCAAGTTCACCTATCTGTGCGGTCAGCATGGTGAATGAATCCAGTGGTGAGTTCTGAGTTGTTTCAGTCTCCTAACTACTCTCTCCTTTAATCTAATCCCTCCGTATGCAGAGAACAGGGTCCCAATCCCCCTGCTCAGCTATCTACAGCACTGGCAAGTGACCCATTGGGCTTCCTCTTGACCAACTGGGCATCGAGCAGTGCAAAAGAAAATCCCTCCAAAACCTGGGAGTGTCACACTGTAGGCTACTCCTGCATGCAGGTGGGTACATATTTTCAGGTTCTAATGACCCTTCTTAAGATAAATGAGGGTGTAGAAATGAAAATAACTCAGCTACTAGTATTCCTAGATGAAGGTCACTATATCTATACCAAGTTAATAGCCAATATTCAATAATATTTTTACTATTACATTATTATCATCATCATCACTAGCTGTAGAGCTCTTAACAATTTTCATTAACCTCTCTCAGAGTTAATATTGTCAGTTATAAAATAAGTTTGACGAATTTTACAACTTTGGAGGGGGTGGGGAGAAGGGGGAAGCCGCGAAGTGGGGGGATATGGGAAGGGATGGGAAGGGGAAACAAAGGAAGAGGCAACAATGCTTGATAAGAAATGTACTCATTACCTTGCCCATGTAATTGTAACCTCTCTGTACGGTATTTTCACAATAAAAATAAATTATTTAAATAACAGGAAAATAAAATAATAAAATAAAATAAATTTGAAACTACAAGAATTAAGATTATTATATTGCTTACATAAAAATATAACCTAATTCACAATTTCTTGACAAATACCCCTTTAATGTTAGTAGGACAGAAAAAGAAGTGATTTTTCTTTTAGGTGGTGAGGAAAATAAGACTGTAGATGCCTTCCTTATATTTTATTAGTTCCATATTTCTACTAGCTTCCAGAAAAATCTCTTCTCCAATCTCTATCGTTGTTGCTACTGTATGTGAAGAGTAGATTGATCTAGTGATTTCCCTTCCCATTTTTTTTGTCAGTCGTGGGGCTTGAACTCTGGGCCTGGGCGCTGTCCCTCAGCTCTTCAGCTCAAGGCTAGCGCTCTACCACTTAAGCCACAGTATCACTTCCAGTTTTCTGAGTGTTTTGTTGGAGGTAAGAATCTCACGGTCTTTCATGCCTGCACTGGCTTTGAACCGCGATCCTCAGATCTCAGCCTCCTGAGTACCTAGGATTTCAGGCTTGAGCCACCCGCGCCCAGCATCCCTTCCCAATTCTTAAAGTACAGTTACATTCAAGATCTGTTCCTGCCTCAATGATCATTTTTTGTCTCTATGTTTTATATTTGTTTATCTAACTTTTATTAGTAGCTAATTAGAGAACTGTTTGAAAGTAGAGAAACTACCTTCTCATATCTTTTAGTACTCACATACATTAAAAGTTCAGTTAAATATTAATTGATGGATAAGTTCATGCAAGTCGTCTGTGGAAGTCAGTCCCCAATTTTTGTAACCTAGCCTAGAAGAAAGTTCTACATAAAATGAGCAATTAATTTACACAATAAAACTCATTTAAGATCTAGAATGGATTCATTTTTAAAATAGGAATCCGTGACAATTAAGTAAAATAAGCTAAAGAAATTACTGAGATTTTTCTTATGATAACATGGATGATAAACCTGCCTTCCTAGGACATAGCATTAGCAAGTCTCTACCATGAAGCACTTAAGGCTCATGGTGCTGATCCTCTGTCATATTTCTGTTCTGATACTTAGATAAACTTTGTTTGGATATTATATTAAGATGTATTAGTGAAAATATAAAAATTAAATTCTTATTGATAGAAACTCAGTAACAAATGATACATTTTCCTGACAGTTGGCTGGCAGGTAAATATGATTTCTTTAAACAGTATTTCAGGATGTTTTCAAAATATATGGCTCTTTCAAATGTCATCTTTATTAACATTAGTAGACCAATGTTAAAAGGAATTTGAAGGTCAAGCACATGAGTAGTAGGAAATGAAAGAACAAGACATTTTGTATACCTTTATATAAGCTATATAAGCCTCCTTGTCCTAAGATTCCAGAGAATTGCCTTTTTTATCTGTATGTGTGTTAGTTGTGGGTTTTGAATTCTGGACCTGGGTACTGTCCCTGAGCTTTTTTGTTCAACTATAGTGCCCTATAGTTGATGAACAGATATACTTCCAGTTTTATAGCAGTTAATTGGAGATAAGAGTATCAAGGACTTTCAAACTGTGATCCTCAGATTTTTCACCCTCCTTGACTAGCTAGGGTTATAAGTATAAGCCACTTGTCCCCAGCAGACTTACCTTTTTTGTTGTTGTTAGTTGTGGGGCCTGAACTCTGGGCCTCGGGTGCACTTCAGCTCAAGGCTAGCACTCTACCACTTGAGCCACAGAGCCCCTTCCTTCTTTTTCTGCTTATGTGGTGCTGAGGAATCGAACCCAGGGCCTCATGCATACAAGGCAAGCATTCTACCACTGATCCACCTGCCCAACTCTCAGATTACCTTCTTTTAAAGGAAAAGTAATGTCTATTCCTCAGAAATACAAGGTAGTGTTCATTGGACCAATTAACCTTATGAATGATACTTTTATTGCTTTCCCTCTTTTAATATAAAGAAGATGCTATTTGAATATCCCTCCACCTGTAGCCATCCTTGCAAATATCTCACTGATAACAAGATGTGAGAATGTAGTCTTGTAAATAGATTTTTCAAAGCTTAACTTCTTAATATAGCTTTAGGGCTTGTCTTAGAGGTCCATGTGGGTAGGTGAGAAATCTGTCAACATAATGTCTTTTCTCAGTATTTTTCCTAAGGGCAACAAGCTATTTTGTTTCCCTTGAAATTATTTTTGATGTTTCCCCTTCCCCCTATTCTACTTTAATTTCACATGGAACTTTGAGGATGGAAAAGTAAGTTATTTAGATGAATTCAACATAAAAAACAGTATTTGTGATAAAGCTCTGAATTCTCTTTTCTACAAACATCTGCTTATAATTGAAGAGTTATTTAGTATGGAATGTGGTATTTAACGGAACAAGTAATTTATGTAAGAAATGCTTCTTTTCTTATTACATTTGCCCTCTCACTGCCTGCTGTATCTCTATTGCTTGTATTTTTTGTTACTGTCAAGATGGCAAATTTCTATCTGCAATAGATGCTATAGCTGCCATTGTTCATGTGCTTAAAATTCATTTGGTTGTACGGTAATCTTTATCATTAAATCTCATATTTAGACACATTCATAAATTGAGTCCATAAACTCTTGTGCAGGATATATGAACCTTTCTTACATATCTGAAAATAGAATACATACAATTTTGATAAAATGATTTTTAGAAAGAAATTTACTGCCCCCCTCTCTCTGAGGTAAAGTCTTGCTATAAGGCCTAGGATGGCCTAGGATGGCCTTGAACTGTAGGATTTAAGCAACCTCCCTGCCTTAGCCTCCCCTGAAGCTGGAGCTGCAAGGCACATGCCACTGCATCTGGATATTCAATTATCTCTTAACAGAAACCATTGTAAAGGTTTATTTCATTAAGTTAAGATGACCAAAGCCATTCTCTCTATAATGACAGATGATGATATAGAGGGGAGATAGCATCTGTATATAAATGCTATCTATTTTAGTCAATAATTCTACATGGACTTATCAAATACTTTACTTGTTTCCTTTACCAATCCTCCCATAATTTATCCCCCCCCAAATAAAAATTCATGATTTATGTCTTCACACTTTTTGAATAGAGCATGTAAGCTTAAATCTATTTTTAAATTTCAAGTTTGGGCCTTTGGATTCATAGCTCACACCACCCTCCCTTACTTACTTTACTTACAAAGCCATTTGATTTCATGTCTTATCATCAAGAAGGAATGAAAGGAAATGCCCACGTTTCAGTCCCTTTCTTCAATATGGAAATGATTCAAGCCAAACAAACAAAAGTATTCCACTTACATTCATCCTTACAGAAGTTAAATTGAAGCAATGCATGAGGACTTGTTGACTCATTCATATATTTTAGTTTTAAATTGTATCTACATTGGAGAAGTTAAGATGTAAAATTTCCACATTTTTCAGTGCCTTCAATACCCCAGTGATTCTAATTTAACTCATGTTGGATAAGTGTACTAAGGTAAACATCCACTCCAGTTTTTACAGAACTGTCACAGTTTATACTTATTGTGTTATTTTTGACCCCCCGAAATACCCCAATTTGGATGAAAAGTGAAACATTCATTCATATACGTCCATACAAACCCATGTATTACATACAAAAAATTGTAAACATAGGTCCTTACCCAGAAACATTTACAAAACCTGATAATGACACAAGATAAATACATGAAACCATTGTAAATTATGTTTTTATTAAAAGGCTAATTTTATGGCACAACCTTATAAGCCCTATGAGAATCCAGAGAAGAGATGTATGGATATGGACTAGTTAATTGGAATTACCCTACTAAAGACATTGAATGCATACAGTCAAAAAATCTGACTACAAAGAAGAGCATGATGGAAATCATAGATAAGAATTCAGAATTTCTGGTCTCCTCCTGACTCTGCCAATGGATAATTTTAATCCCTTAAGAAAATCATTCTCTTTAGCTTTAATTTCTTCATTAAAATGAGAAATTCAAGTGTTCTCATTTACTTATCAGTTTTTTCCCCTATTGATACTACTTTGTAAAAGACACAGCACCAAGAGATGTGTAAATAATATTCAAAATTCATGTATAAACTTGTGGCAATCACTTTTGTTGTCTCTAGTGACATAGTTGTAGTGAGTTTGCGATTGCAGATTAGTGGCCCCAACCAAGAAATATTTGTTGTATTAAATTGAATAAGATTGTTTTCTTGGAAGGAATTTTCTCTCTTAATTGCATCATTTGTTCATTCTGATAGTGATGGTACCCAGAATGGTAGCATGTCTGTCAGCAGAAGCTGACACTGAATATTTTCAGAGTGAAAAGTACAGGTGTGCTACACATAACTAAGGCTACAGATGACTCAGTAGGAATCACAAATGCTGTTCCCTGGTCTCCTTTGTACCTTCTTAGAAGTTAGGTCAACTTCCCATTATCCCTACATTCTGGTATCGGGAATCTTGCTTTTGTTCCTAGTGCTAATTACCAAACAAGAGCTATGAAGTTCACTGGAATGGAATGATAACAACTGAGCTACAAGGATCTCTACCAACCCAAAGAAGCTGAGATGTCTTCTGTGAATCCAGCTGGTTTAAGGCTGCAGGCCCACTTCCCTTGACCAGTTTTT